GAAGCCTCCCAGATCTCCAGATGCATTTGAGATATCAAAAAAGTACTCCAGAGTGTTGTTCAGCATGGGGGTGAGTAGAAAATTGAGGCTAATCATGTTTTGGGTGTACTATTCCTTTAAGACAGTCATTAATTACTAACTGTTGGTCTGTTCCCACCTGGACTCAGAGGTTGACCAAGCAAAATTGCAAGGTTGCAGCTTTTTTATTTTATTTTTAATTGATTGATTTTTCTTTAGTTTTTACCTGCAGAACTTTGTCTTTGCAGCGTTTCTCTGTTGAATTTGCCTTTTAGTGCATGTGTGCTTTGGCAGTTTGCATGATTCTATTTTCTGTGATTGCAGCATTTTTCTTTTGCAGCGTTTCGCAATTCAAGTGGATTTTAAGTGTTTGTTTTTGGAGTTTGCATCAATGACATGTCTGCAGCACATATAGCATTTTGTGGTGCGTCATCCCTTTGCTGACCATTTGCAGCTACTGGCCACAGTAATTTTTCTTTGTCTGTCATTTAAAATTCAAATTAAAATACCTAAAGGTTTGTATTTGTGGTGTTTATAAATGTAAATCGTTAAAAATGAACAATAATTTAGCAAGAATTTACAAGGTTGTTTTATTTTATTTTATGGTGTTTTTCTTTAGGTTAAAAAACACAACCTGACGGTGAACCTGACAACCTTCAGGATCTGGTGTTATGTGTGTGAGCGGGAGGTGTTTCTGGATCAGAGGCCCACACTGGTCCCTGTTCCAGCTGTACCCCACCACTGCAAAGCTACAGAGCAGGTGCAAACACTGACAAAGTTCATTTCTATTTTGTTATTGATGTATTTTACACATGCATGACGCTCATGCATTTGTTGTTGGCCCAGGATGCAGCTGCCCCTTCAGTAGGTCACCCTCTAAAAGCAGTACCGATTGCAGTGGCAGAAGATGATGGCTCAGAATCAGAGGAAGATGAACTTAAACCAAGAGGTGCAAAACTAGCTTCTAATCATCATAACGTTTATTATTTCCAATAGATTTTACAGAAAACTCAATAAGAGTCAATATAGAAAGAAACTCAAGAGTTTTGCTATGAAGAACCCCTTTTGGAGGTGTTTCACTTCTACTTGTCTGTTCATTGTAAAGTTATATAAGTTGATGGGTTCCTGTGTTGCCTTCAGGGTTGACGGGAATGAAGAATATAGGAAACTCCTGCTACATGAATGCTGCTCTGCAGGCCCTGTCAAACTGGTGGGTTCACATCCATTCAGCCAATTATCAGAGATGAGTCTAGTCTAGTTTAGTTTGTAAATCAGAGCTCCAAACTTTAACTTTTCGTTCTTTTTGTTCACCAGCCCTCCACTCACCCAGTTTTTCCTGGACTGCAGCGGATTGGTGCGGACCGATAAGAAGCCGGCGCTGTGTAAGAGCTACCAGAAACTCATCTCAGAGCTCTGGCATAAGAAACGGTATAAAACGATTTAAAACTTTTTAATATTTCACTTTTTTGGGTCATTATTTTTTTCTTGGTTTGATTCAGATCTGTCTCGTGTATCTTTTGCCCTTTCAGGCCCAGCTACGTTGTTCCTACCAGCCTGTCCCATGGCATCAAACTGGTAAACCCAATGTTTCGAGGTTATGCTCAGCAGGTGAGCACCCTGCAAGTAATTACATTTGATTTCTATTGCAAACCACGGGAAACATTCTGCAAATATTAACTGGAAAAGAGATGATTCTCTGGATTTATGTGTGTTCATCAAAAAGGACTAATCCCAGTCAGGCGCTGAGAAGAACATCAGTTAGAATGAAACAGTTGTGTTTATATCTCAGTATTCGTTATCAAATCTAAACATGCAGGTTCTGTGAAAGCTGCCTAAGTAGCAGGAGGGCTGGAGTGTTTTTATAAGGAAATTAGTTTCCCCTTTTCTTTTAAATGCAGTTCCTGCAGTTTCTAAATGCTTTTTTTTTTTTTTTTGCACACAATACGGCAGGAAACTAAAATGATTGAATCCTTTGAGCATTTTTCTGTTATCTAGGCATCAAAGATGTGAAGCTTTAGTTCTTTTTCTAGCATTTTAAAGTTTTTTAAACTCCTACGGAATGTAGGTAGGTGGAGAGCGTGCACGACTCCAATCCTGTCATGCACAATAAACAGTTTAAGAAACAAAGGTAAAGTTTAGATAAGGCCTTAAATCATTTTTTTTTTTGGCTACTAAAGGATTTACTTCTATAGAGTAATTCCAAACCAAGATGGCTATCAGCTAAAACTGAGTGGAGCTATTAATGTCTGAAAGCAACAAAGAAACGACTAACATCCTTATTATGTTATATTACTCTCTTTCAGAGGAAATGCTGGTAAATTCAAACATCTTTTTAAAACTGAAAACCCAGATTTAAACCTGAAGTTCTTACAGAAAGACATTTTTATGAACTACAGGCAGTTTGCACCTTCAGGCGGGACTCACTACTGTGTCAGATCTGTCATTAACATGGCATGAAAGAAGTAGACGACTGAAGCAAGTTAAAACAAATTCTTGTTGTCTTAGGCTGATCCATCTTATTTGGAGAAATCCAGTTAAAACTGCAAACTTGTTTCTTAAGAATTGTTGCTTTATGTCTCTTATGAAAGCACATTAACCTTGAGTTTTCTTTTATTTAAGGTAATTTGTTGAAGTCTCAGGCATTGTTTTGGTTTCTGAAAATATATGGTGGTGTATTCAAATGCCTAAAATTGACAAAGAAATCTGAAAAGTTTAAGTTGCACAATGCAGTTTTGATATAAAACTATGTAGAAATGTCTCAATTATTTCTTCTTTTGGACCATATTAATTTCCTTCTCTCTGATGGCTGATAAACCTGTAGTTTACAGTTAAGTTAGCTCAAGTTGGAAGGTATCAATTTATAGTTGAACCTAAAGTTTGAGGTGTTCAGGATGAAGACTGAACCCCCTCCTCTGCAGCGCTCCTCTACATGGTAAAGTCATCTCAAAAGCACAGATGTTCCTTTTCCCTTACTTAAAGCTTTCAGAGGGCAGAACTTAGCTGTAGACCTGCTTCATAGCCACATGGTCACGGTATTCAACTAAATAATTAGAGGTAACAGGTCAGTTAGTAGGTTTTGTCAAGCCAAATTATCAGTTTCTTCCTATGATTAGCTCAGAAGCTGCTATTGAATTCTTTTATCAATTAAGCCAAAAAAGCTTAAAATGGAAAAAGAGACAAAATATTTTCTTGTTGCAGAAAGGATGCTTATGAATATTTCTTTAATATCTTGTAGAAATGGCCCGGCATCTGTTAAAGAAGCTGCAGTTGTCATTCTAATGTTTTCTTTCTCTCCAGGACACCCAGGAATTCCTGCGCTGTCTGATGGACCAGTTGCACGAGGAGCTGAAGGAGCCGCTGACAGAGTGCAGCATGAGCAGGGAGGGGAGTGACGGAGAAGAACGGCGGGATGGAGACCGTTCGCCCTCCGAGGACGAATTCCTGTCCTGTGACTCTGGTTCTAGTAGCGACCGGGGAGAGGGGGGAGGACTGGGGGAGGGGGAGCTTCTCTTGCAGGACGAGTGCGATGGGTTTCGGTCCCCATCTGTGGGTGTGGGCTCGGGGACGGTTATCTCTGAGAAGGAGAGGTTGAAGGAAAAGAGGGTGTCCGGTTCTCCCCTGCACGGAGGCTCTCAAGAGATGGATGAGGATGCAGATGTGGACACTGCAGCTGAGGAGGGGCCTCCGGAGAGGAGAGAGGAAGAGCCGTCAGCTCTAAGTGCAAACACCGAGGTCCAAGCTCAAGAGGACAACCAGACGTCTGCTGCAGGACAGGCACAGGTCGAAAACACCACTGCCTCAGGTAACAGCTGTTTTTTATTCTCTTCTGCTTTAAATCATGAATATCTAAAAAGTAAATTTTGGACCTCCAATGTGCTGCTTTTTATTTTAGAACCAGACAATGAAGCATCAATGGCTCAGCCACAGTCCACTCCCTGCAGTCCTGTACGGACGCTGCAGGAGCTGCATCCCAAACTGTCCTCCAGTCCGCCCCGGTCCAGCCCACTCCGCTCTGCAGGACCCGCCTACTCCATTAAGAAAGGTCTAAGTGAAACAAAAACTTAAAATTTTTTCCTGCAAAATGTTTGAGTCTTTCAGGACTTCTTGAAATATGTCTTGGTTGTTTTTATTTGCACTAAAATCTTTTTTGTCCCCCTGTAGTATATTATTATAAAGCAGTTAGCGGTAGAGATGTAGAAACAGTAGAGAAATGATTAAACATTATTTACTTTGCAGATCAAAACTAAGAACTTCCATTTTTGGTTCATAGAAAGCATGTAATATAATGCACCTTGAGGTGTGGTGAAAATAACCTATATGCTATTACATATAATTTGGTGCTGAAATAAAGATTACGTTTATATAATTATTTTAACTGGATTAGTCTCTTCTTTTATTGTCGAACCTGCAGCCCATCTTTTCTCCTTCTGTGGTGTGATCCGTGGAGATGTTGGTTTATTTTGGTACTCGGGGCTGCTTTGTTTCAGGTTGCAAGTTTGTCTCTGAATTAACCGCTGTCACCATTTCTCCTGCAGCTCAGCTGCTGCTCACCTCCAGGAAGAAGAAGCAGTCTCACTATCGCAGCATAATCTCGGACATCTTCGACGGCTCCATCCTCAGCTTGGTTCAGTGTTTAACTTGTGACAGGGTGAGATGTGCAGCTTCAAACACCAGGGGGTGTTAAACCCACATTTAGCAAACATGTTCAGTATTTTTAATGGTGAGGATATGGATATATATGATAAATGATTAAACACACAGCTGCATGGATGTTTACAGGTCTCCACCACTGTAGAAACCTTCCAGGACCTTTCTCTACCGATCCCCGGCAAAGAGGACCTGGCAAAGCTCCACTCGTCCATCCATCAGAACCTGCCTGTAAAGACCGGTGTGTGTCCCGACAGCTACGGCTCGCAGGGCTGGATCTCCTACATCATGGACTCCATACGGCGGTCAGTGAAAAACACTGAGTCAGTGTTTCCTAGGAGAACTGGAATGTGACTTCTGAAGAATCAGATAGATTTAACTGGGTGGTAAATGCAGGGACGAGTTGGATCTGCTTCAGTTGGCCAAGCTTTTTATTTTGATTCAGATCAAAGCAGAGATTTGAGAACTATAACCAGCGGGTGTATTTTCTGCAACAGTAGGCAAGCAGCCTCTTGACTTTTCATGTGGGTAGCCTAATGTCTTTTTTCATTTTTTTTTTCTTTAAGTCAAACACAGTAGAGATTGTAGAAAATTAAACCCTGCTGCAAAAGCAAATCTGATGATGGAGGCTTTGTGACTTAGTCCTTTTTCATTAGTAGCCTTTTTTTTTCTTGCTCTGAATTAGATCTTTTTTGTGAATCCTCCCCTTCTACATGATTTGTAACTTCCAGTGTAATGAGTTGAAGCCTTGGCTGCTAGTTAAAAGAAACAAGGCCTTAATAATGATTGGTCAGCTTCTGCGAAAAATGTATATTTAGACCAACCCACAGAAGCCTTATTCTGCTTCTGAGTGCCAGGCTCCGTTACAGCAAGATCCTGCCATTGGAATGAGTGTTGTTGTTTTGTTTTGTTTTTTTTCATTGCACACTTTAAAGCAGCTGAAGTCAATTCCATAGCGATTGGTTTGTTTTATTAACCGTCATTTCATAGTTTTTTTTTTTTACTTGTGAAGCATGTGAGGTAGAGGCAAAAAGTCGAGAATAAAGTCGCAACGAGAATAAAGTCGCAACATTACGAGAATAAAGTCGCAATGAGAATAAAGTCGCAACATTACGAGAATAAAGTCGCAATGAGAATAAAGTCGCAACATCACGAGAATAAAGTCGCAACATCACGAGAATAAAGTCGCAACATCACGAGAATAAAGTCGCAACATCACGAGAATAAAGTCGCAACATTAGAGAATAAAGAGAATAAACTCGCAGCATATTAGGACTTTATTCTCTAAATGTTGTGACTTTATTCTTGAAATGTTACGATTTTATTCTTGTAATATTACGACTTTATTCTCATAATATTGCAAATTTATTCTGTTATAAAAAAAAAAAAAAAAGAAATCTCTAGCCTGGCCCTAATACTCCGTCATACAAATGTACCTCACCTTTAGGTATTTATTTAGGTATTTATTTAGCTATTTATTTTCAAATGTAGCTCAGCTGGAATGTGTAGGTTCATTGCTTGGTTTTACCACAGTCTTTTGTGGCCTCTGAGAGATTTTCATCCAGTTTTGCTCTATTTCTCTCAACCACTTGATCACAGTCTCTGTTCCTATGGAAAAACTTGTCCTCACAGCATAATACAGCCGTCACCATGTTTTCCCATGGGAAAGATGTGTTGGGATCCTTCAAGAGTCCTAACAGTTTTCTTCACTTTTTATTTATCCTTATAATGTTTACTTTTTTTCAATAATGTCCTCAGACAAACCTTTGAGAACAGAACAGCTAAACTTAAAAGGATGTATACTTCTGTTTTAAGTAAACTATAGTAAAACTTACATTATTAATTTTTTTCAGAGACAGAAACACAGACTATGTTGCGTTTTTAATAACCTTTAATCAAAAAACAAATTTTAATTGAGTCATTTTTCCTAACTGCTCAGGTTCCTTGATAGTGCAGCAGGATCCTAAACCTACACTTTCAGATGCAATGAAAGGGGTTTGATTAAATGTCCTGATGCATCTCAATAATCCAGATTTAAGGAAAATAAGTTCAGCAAATCTTCTAGATTGGGTCTTTCTTTGTTGAATGTTTTCAAAGACTTATTCAACATTTAAAGGGGTTTGGATTAAAACATATGTGTGCTCTAGTGGCCTAGTCAAAGTTCAGACCAAAATCCATGGCAAGTCTTAAAATGGAGGCTTAGACACTTGAAGCATCTGAGTACAAATGGAAACAACTTCTTTCAGTTGTTTTGTATTTATTTATTTTTTTTTATTTACATCCGTCCACTCCATAATTACGCACAAAACATTATAAATGAAAAGTGGGATGTGTTGCATGCTTGCCATAACCTCCCATGGATGATAATCATTGGGTTTTTCTTTTGAACAGGTTTGTGGTTTCCTGCATTCCAAGCTGGTTTTGGGGTCCCATGGTTACGCTCGAAGACTGCCTCGCTGCCTTTTTTGCTGCTGATGAGCTCAAAGGTACTTAAAATCTTACTTTTTCCACTGATGCTTTATTGTTACAAGTGTGAGCTACATATTTTTTGTTTTGTTTATTTTTCTACAGGAGACAACATGTATAGCTGCGAGAGATGTAAAAAGTAAGTAGATGCTAGAAGTCTGTGTAGCTTAATTAGACTTTGTAATGACTATATATCTTATTTTTTGCTGGCAGATTGCGAAATGGTGTCAAATACTGCAAAGTGCTGAAACTTCCAGAGGTAATAGTTGTCTTTATTTTTTATATAATTTGTTTAAAGTTCAGCTGTTAGTTTGATTGCTTTTGTTTGTTTCCTAGATTCTCTGCATTCACCTGAAACGTTTTCGTCACGAAGTCATGTATTCGTTTAAGATCAGCAGCCATGTCTCCTTCCCTTTGGAGGGCCTCGACATGCAGCCCTTCCTGGCCAAAGACAGCCCGTCTCAAGTCACCACGTATGACCTGCTGTCGGTCATTTGTCACCATGGCACAGCAGGAAGTATGAGAGGAATTCCTGTTTTCTTTGATTATTTATTTTTCTTATAAATCTGTTCTTTGTAATGTGAAGCTTTTACTGACATCTTTTCATTCTTTTTTCTTAATGCAGGTGGACATTATATAGCTTACTGTCAGAATGTGATCAATGGCCAGTGGTACGAGTTTGACGATCAGTATGTGACTGAGGTGCATGAGACGGTGGTTCAGAATGCAGAGGCCTATGTGCTTTTCTATAGGTGAGTTTAATTAAGACAAACATTTTTTCTCCACCAAATGGTTAAAAAAATATTTTTCAAAATAAATGTTTCTTGCCATATTGCAGAAAGAGCAGTGAGGACTCTGTGCGAGAGAGACAGAAGGTGGTGGCTTTGGCCAGCATGAAGGAACCCAGCCTGCTGCAGTTTTACATCTCTAGGGAATGGCTGAACAAGTTCAACACTTTTGCTGAGCCAGGTCCAATCAGCAATCACACCTTCCTTTGTCAGCATGGAGGTGTGTGGCAACTGTGTTTTTTACTTTGGGACCAGAATTGTACCCTACATCTGAAGGAGAACATATATGAGCCTCCTTTATAGAGAGTTCACATGAGGGCCAGTGATACTTCCCATAGTGAAGCTCTCTGATTGTGGAAATAAGTGCAAGAGAGGATTCTAATGGTTCTGGTGTTGATATCAACCAATCATTCAGTTAAACTTTATTTGACTGTTTTACACTCCCAGGTAAAAAAAAAAAAAAGTGCTGTTCAGTTTCATAAAAAATAAATAAAATGAAATAATATACAATGTCTACAGTAAGATAGTATAATACAACAGTTAGAACTGTTAAAAGTCAAGAAAATAAAAACAGTTGTTAAAAAAAACTGATGCTATTCAAACAAAAAAAAAACTTTTAGGTACCGGTAATTAAAAATAAAAACAACTGAAAACTCCAAGTGGGATACTGCAGCAAAATATCACAAAAATGCTGAGATTTTCTAAAAAAAAAAAATATTTAGATCACTGTATCCCAAAAGTAGGAACAAAAGAGCAATTTTCAGAGGATTTTGCTACTTAAATCTGAACAGCAAGATGAGTCCCTGGTTTGTTATCCATTGAGGTTCCATTTAGTTATGTATTCGAAAGAAACAACTTCACACATCATTGATCATATGGGGCACAGGGTTATTCCAAAATACTTTTAAGGCCCCCAGTTCACCCTTCAACTCAGGCCCACTAAAGTTATTTTAGTTTTTAGTTGAATCAGATCTCTTACTGGTTTCTTAAGTAACTAGTTGTATCTTCAATTATTTTATAGAGGTAGAAATGTTTAATTATCCAATTAGCAACTGTATAAAATGTAGCTTTAAAATTTGCTGGATTTAATTGGTAGCCTTTGTAACTGATTTAATTGGAATTCAGCATTATGAATTAAAACAGCATTAATATGAATACAGTAATGGATAAATGAAAATGCATCAAAGCTGCTAAAGTAAAACAAAGGGAACTTTTTTTTATGCATATTTCAGCTGTTTATTATTTTAAGCATTTGTCATAATGTTTATCCTTCCTTCAACTGCATCTGTTCACATTAAGTTATCATAGATTTTGCATTAATGAAATAAAATCATTGGTATGGATTCTAACTGAAGGTGGACCTACTAGTGAGCCCTGAGGGACTCCAGTTATAAAAACAGGAGTCTTGAACCTAAAACTGAAGGTAAAATCTACTTAAATGTCAAACTGCAGTCAAGTAACATCTTGGAGAGATGGTTGTTTTTAACTGTGTAAAAGGATTTCAACACGCCCATCTCCATTCATTACCATCAGGACGTTTCTAGATCTTTATCAACCCAAAAACAACCTGCAAAATAATTATTATTACATTTTCTTTTTTCAGTAAACTTTCTGAGCAAAAACCTTGACTTTGATTTTTCCTTTTTTTTGCCATTGTTGCTTGTAAGAGCTACTAGAAAGACATAGGAAATCCACTCTTTGTATAAACTCGCAATATCATAAACAATATGTCTGACCATGAGCAGACAATCTAACCTTCATCTTGAGTGCTGACGCCATTAGGTGCTCTAGAAACCTCCAAATCTGTAAAAACCTCTTCCACATAATTATACATAACATGCATTTCTGATATTCCATGAGTCCAACAAGTCCCACTTCGCTCTAGATGCATTACATTACCAAAAAATAAAGACTCTTCTGCATTTTTATGTAATTTGCATGTTTTTTTTTCTTAAAACTACTCTTTTATTAAGACATTTTTAAATAATCATTTAAATATACTGTATATCTTCTCTTCACAGGAATCCCACCCAACAAGTACCAGTACATCGATGATCTGGTTGTGATAGTTCCTCAGAATGTTTGGGAGTATCTTTACAACAGGTAAATGAAAAGAAGCCATGAGTGATCATAGTTTGATTTATCATAGGAGCTGGAAAAAGGAGATGTAGCAATAGTAGCTCAGGGGTAGCTGAGTCATACAGCTACTCCCAGTGTTTGAAGTATTGTCCCCGAGTGAAACAGGCAGTCATGAATTATTAATTATAGGTTCATTGACTCTGTGTAGGATTAATCTCCCATCACTGTTGTACATATAGCACATCTATTTTTGAAAGGTGCTTTATATATATTATTTTATGTTTTGTTTCCCGTAATTTTATTTTGCTATTGCAAATAAATGATAATGTTTAAGTTTTTTCTTTTAATGAAATTTGATTAATCAAACATTTTAGTCAGTTTGTGGAGGTTTTTTGCTTTTTTCTTGCAATTTGGGGAAAAAAAAAAAGGTGATCTACCAAACTTTTCTTTATAATTTTTGCTAACCTTTCACTAGGAATTTGTTTTGGTCTTTTCAGTTTTGGAGGCGGGCCTGCAGTCAACCACCTGTACATGTGCGCCATCTGTCAGGTGGAGATAGAAGCTCTGGCGAAACGCAGGAAAACTGAAATCGACACCTTCATTAAGGTTCGCCCAAACCCCCTGAAAGGCTCCATTTTAAACTCACTCCCTATTCTAAGAACCTTTAATTGATTTAAGTTTTGTCTGTAGCTGAACAAAGAGTTTCAGGCTGAGGAGGCTCCATCAGTGATCTTGTGTATCAGCATGCAGTGGTTCAGAGAGTGGGAGAGCTTTGTGAAGGGAAAAGACAATGGTACAACCCTGAACTTACCAATATTTAGCAGTGGATGTTATTCATTTAAACAAAAAGCAAAACAAACATAATTTGTTTGTTTTCTCAGAGCCGCCTGGTCCGATCGACAATAGTAAAATTGGTGTTATGAAAGGAGGACACATAACACTGAAGCAAGGTAAACCTTCCTTCACTGACTGGGACGTAAACGTGGAAAGGAGAAAAGTTAAGATGATTATTGTTTGTTTTTTTTCGTCTCAGGAGCAGACTACGGACAGATCTCAGAGGAGACGTGGCAGTATTTGTTGGGTATATATGGTGGGGGTCCTGAGATCGCAGTGAGGCAAACGGTGGCCCCAGCTGACCCAGACGGGCTTCATGGAGAGAGGAAGATTGAAGCAGAGACTAGAGCACTTTGATATAAAACCGAGGTGAGAGCCCCATGTAATGCATTTCATTTTTTTTTTTCTCAGTTTGTGTTCAACACCAAATTTAGCACCGTAACCTGGTTCTGAGAAGTTGTTTGGTAACAAAAGGGATGATCGCAATCGATGCATCACATTTTCTCCACCTCATAATCGTGCTTCCCTGTGTGTTGGAATAACACGAAATATCCTAAATCCATTCTTGGGCCCCTCCTATTCAACATCTACATGCTCCCCTCAGCTCAGATTATAACAAATAACAATATTGTTGCAGACAACACCCAGCTTCACACCACAATGTCACCCGGTCACTATGAACCCATCAGAGCGTTTTTTCTAGATATTTGATCAGATCAGTATGTGGATATGCGCCATCATTTTCTACGACTGAAAAAAACAAAACTGAGGTAATAAAAATCAGACCAAAGGTGGAGAAATCCAGAATTAGCTCACAGCTTCAGCTACTGCATCTAGAAACCACTGATTATGGCTGAGATCTTGGTGTCATGATGGACTCAGACCTTAAACTTCAGAGGCTCATGAAGGCAGTTACTAAGTCAGCCTTTTATCACATGAAAAAACGTTTCCTGGATTAATGGACTGATATCCAAGCAGGATCTAGAAAAACTCATTCATGCTTTTTTCTTTAGTAGAATTGATTACTGCAACAGTGTCTTCACAGGTTTGCCTTAAAAGTCCTTCAGGCAGCTGCAGCTGATCCAAAACGCTGCTGCCCGTGTTCTCACTAGAACTAAGAAAGTAGAGCACATCGGCCCAGTTCTGAAGTCCTTCCACTGGCTTCCTGTAGCTCAGAGAATAGACTTAAGATCATTCTGTTAGTCTATAAATTACTGAATGGATCAGCAACTCAATACATAACAGAGTTGTTGCCAATGTATCAACCTCCCAGACCACTCAGGTCTTCTAGTTCAACCCTGCTCTATACACCCATATAGAACCAAACATGGCCAGGTCGCATTCATCCAACCTGAACGTCATTAATACTGAACGAAGGTCACTATTCTGTGTCTTGAAACGCAGAAGCAGCGAGAAAAACAACCAAGGTGGACAATAATTCAGAGAGCAGAGAGAGTGTCTTTTTTGTTGATCTCCTTGAAAAGTTTGCTTTGTTAATGGTGCTCTGGCTCTGTGATTACTAGATGCGATCCAGGGCTACGATTCATGTTTACTTCTGTTAAAAAGAGAGCATGCTCGCTACTTGTGATGTAATTGCGCCCTCTACTGCGCATTCACACAACTAATTTGTCCTGCATGCGCAGTAAAGTGCGCATGACATCACAAGTAGCGAGTATATAAAATATAAAATGTATAAATGTACAGTGTTGGTTAAAGTACAAGTAAATAAAATAAGTTTAAACTCTTAAAATCCACTTAGCTCCGGCGACCGTTTTTTATAGTTTTTACAACTAACAACTCAGAACGCGTGAAAATTGCAACAGTAAGATTCTCCACAATTCAACCACCAAGTTTATTTTATGGACACAGAGAGCACCAGAGCACAATTAAAGCAGATATAGCAGCATGGTAAACTTTAAATATGACATTATTTATAACAAGGAGGTGTTAGTTTTCAAATGCTGTATCACACATTTAATTTGGGATTACAGTTCCTCAGTGATTTGCTTTTTCATTTTGGGTTTGCTAATTACGCAAGGATTACTTCAAATCAAATAAGGTACAATGAACAGATTATATATAATGTAATACATCATGGAGTACAGCACAGTGTTGGTTAATTTTTTATTGTACAGTGTGATGGCATACGGCAGGAAGGATTTCCTGTATCTTTCCCTTCGACAGCGAAGTGGCGCAGCCTGTGAGAGAAAGTGCTCTGCTGTCTGACCAATGTGTGATGCAGAGGTTGCTGTACAGAGAAAGCCTTCCTGACTTTCTTAAGTCTGTTGGTGTCGCTTGGACAGTGTGCATTGTGTGGGGGGGTTGGCGTCGTCTTAGGGGTGACAGGAGGTGAGCTAAATCTGTTGAAAAACTGGTTGTTCTGGTTCGCTCTATCCAGGCTCCCCGGTGTCTGCCTGTCTTTCCCCTTCATCCCAGTGATGTGCTTCATTGCCGTCCACATGTCTCTCACACTTTTTAGTTGGAGTTTTGCCTCCTATATGTTTCCTTGGACATCCTCAGCATGTCTATGGGTTGATACTACCCTCTACTCAGCTCCTCTCTGTGTCCAGACCTGAAAGCCTCCTTCTTCTTGTTTAGAAGTTCCTTCAGGTGACGCGTAATCCAGGGCTTGTTATTGGAGAAGCACTGGACGGTCCATGCTGGTAAGGTGGGGTCCTGATGTAATCCGTAACGCAGTTGGTCATCCCATCAATGTCCTCCCCATGTGGCTCACATAGCACATCCCAGTCTGTCGACTCAAAGCAATGCCTCAGCAGCCTTTGGTGTCCACCTCCTCACCGCCCTGGGATATACTGGGATATACTTTGGGGTCATCAAGTTGGAAAGTGTTGGCCTAGTGCAGAGGTCACGGATTAGCGGACCGCGGTCCGGATCCGGACACACCTGCTGGCTATTTCGGACTCCCCCACTGATTTAAAACATTTATAAATTACCTCATGTTATCTGACGGCAGTGTCTAATGTCACTAGCCCCTCTTCTCCTGTTTGTATGGTAAAGCCCTGGATCAGGCTACACGTGACGTAAATAAGCCAATGAGCTGTGTCAGTCTGGGCTGTTGCCGCTAGCTCCTTTTAGACAAAACACGCAAACCTGTGGCCAGCCAGGCGGTGGGTAAGAAAGTGTAGACTGCTGGAAGAAGCGCTGTGAACTGGTGACAGAAAAGTGAAATGGTGTGCTCAAAGATGACCCTGAATATTTTGAGTATTTTTGGCTCACCTACTTCTGTGAAGCAGGATTCTCCACCATGAACATAATCAAAAATAAATATTGATCCAGGCTCAGAATGAGCACCTTGATATGTGCTTGAGAATGGCTTTGTCGCCATTTAAACCCAGGTTTAAAGCCTTGCAGGGCAGCCTAAAGCCCACTGCTCTCATTAAGCCATAAAAAAAGAAAGAAAACAAAAACAGGCAGTTCAGGTGTTTTATAAAATATGTGAATCAGGAAATTGTCTATATACTAAACTAAACAATTGTTTTCTACTTCAAAAAATACTTAAAATTTTTAAAATGGAAAAATATTCTATTTCTTTTTAATATTTTTTATTTAAAAATTCAATGTATAACATGGATGCATAAAAAACTCATTTTATTTCAGTGTTAAATTCTGTTTAAAGTAACAGATTATAATAAAAAAAGTCTCCAGACCTTTACTGGTTGGTGATTTTCTTTATTCGGACCCCGCTGATTTCTAATTGGTTACCCCTGGTCTAGTGGTCAGAGCAGTGCGCCATTTATATAAATACCCATTAAATACTCGGTGCAATAATCCTTTTAAATAAGAGACTTCAGCTGTTATATATACATATGTGGACGCACTGTATATATATTTTTCTCCTTTTGGCACCTTCTTTTTGACTACTGAGCCGATGTGACAAGTGAATTTCTCCACTGTGAGATCAATAAAGTCTTTCTTATTTAATCTTAACTTAAATAAATTTGCCTTGTGAAACTAAATTTGCAGAAATTTGTTGTTTGACAATAAAACGTGAAAACAATTCAAGGGGTCCGAATTCTTCTGCCTGTAAATAATGTGTTCGGATGAAGATTGGAATCTTTTTTTTAAACTTGTTCTTCATCTTTTTCCCCAACAGGTCTGGTGATAAATTTCCACTTCTGCCCTCACATGAAGCTGAGGAATTTGCACGTCGGTGAAGAAGCATTATGAGCACTTTGTAAATGTAGCAATGTCTTATTTTGAAGCTGCAGGGGGTCAAAGCGGGACCTAAATATCAGTTTCTTCATCGGATAGCTCTGAAGCTCAGTGTTTGTGTCACGTCTCTGCAGCTGTTTTGGGTAGCTGTAGGTGTCTCAGTGGCTGCTCTAGTGATAAGACGTCATGTGCTGCTTCTCAACTGGCCGTGGCAGGCGCCCAACACATGGTGTCACTAAGCGGAACGGTGCAGTGATCGTTGCTACGGGGCTAATTTGTAGTGCGAGGACTGCTTGTTACGCAAGAAGCAATTAAGATGAATTACCAAGCTTGCTGATGTTTGTCTGTTTATTAGTTACATAGCAACAAGCAGACAGAGGAGATCTCAAATGAATGAAACTCCTGCAACTTCAACCTCAACGTGTACCGAGCCCTCAGGAATGGAAAGGATTTTCTGTTTGTTTGTTTTGGCCATGGAAATGACCGAAACAGGTTTGTTTATAACTGCAAAACATGCATGTGTGGGTTATGCTCAGTCATTTCTAGGCTCTAGCTGCATGCGGCTGTAAGGTTTTATTCCTGAACGGATGAGAGGCTCAGTTGTTTTGTTTAAATGGTTCGTTTACATACAGAAGACTTTGCTTTTGTATAGTCTATGTTAGCACTATCAGCAAAAGTGGCATAGGGAGTTTGTATAGATTTGAATGTTAACATTTCATTAATTGATAAGCAGCATGGAGAGGATGTATCTAAAGACATAAGAGAATCTTGTGTTGTAGGTTTCTTTTACAGGAAGCACATTGCACAGTTCTTCAGACATTATCAGTGGCTGTTTTAGATCTATTGCATTATTTCTAATCAGATTTATCTTGCAAAGGAATATTTAGAGAAACTCTGATTTCTTTGTTAAACTTTAACTTTTCTTCTGGTCTCTTATGTTTGCTTAGCGGAGGGTTTGAAGATCCATATGTATCACGATAAAGTGTTTTCTGTCTTGGACTCTTTGCTTATTTGTTTGCTTAAATACGGTTTAATGAATGTTTATGATATAATGCAGCCATAAAACCTTTAGTTTGAATTAAAATGGTTCAGGTTAGGAAAATATGTATTTATTACAATTCCTGAAAATTTAAGGGGAGCAAGAAGTCAGAGGAATTGCAGTAAAACTTTTCCAGATGCCGTTTAAGATTTGATATCCTCTTTTTTTTTCTTTTTCTCAGCACATTTTCCAACGTATCTCTCTCTCTTTCTCTCTCCCTCTCTCGCTCATATTTTTCATCAGCGGCTCATTTTGGCAGATTCAAAGTGCAATGAATCAAGCCACATTCACCTAATAAAACCTTTATGTGGCATAAATAAATGACAATTTCCATTCTATCCAATCGTCAATTTTACCAAGCTGTTCACCCTGGAGTTTTTTTTTTTTTTTTTTTTTTACATTTTTTTTGTTGAAATTAAAGAATAAGAATACAAAATATGTCCTATGACAGATTTTAAGGAGTTCTTAAAGCATATTGGAGAATTTATTTCTCAGACTGGAACAATCATCGGTTATAAGACCATATGTTCTCAGTGGTCCTAAAAACTTAACTTGCTGTCTGTTCTAAGTTAAAATACATTTTTGACAAAGAGCTAGACATTTCAATCATGTCCTGCAAAGCTATTTGCATGCCAACATTCAATATATGTATTTTTTAATATAATTGGTTTAATTTTCCAACCGACCTATCAAACACCATCTGATAAATACTGTTGACATTTAGAGATATTCATATAAACCAAATGCATCTTCATAGCTCCTTAAACAAGGTAATAAAATATAAGCATAACAAGCTATTATAAAAATCCATTTATTGCTGGTAGTCTTTACCACATGCAGCATGTAGTGCCGTTTGTGAACCTTGCAATTTAGATTATTAGACAATATATGATGAATAATCGAGGAATATTGAATTATTCACTTTTAGTTGATTGTTTTTTACAAGGTTTATGGGAATCCTGCCTGTTTTTCTTCTCCGTTGTTGTTTTTTTTTAAACTTCATCGGTTTCCAGAGAGATGTTACTTGCATAATGTTTTCCCATTAAATAAGTACTTACCGTTCATTTTCAGACCCGTTCTGGACAGGATGGTGTTGTGTCTTAAAAAAAATATATATTACAAAAGAAATAAAAATGTATATTCAAAGAAATTGTTTAAATCACACCTGTGTTATATGAAAAATACTTTAACCCTGTGTAATTTACTCCTTGATTCAAATTTGCTTTTAAATTATTGATTTGTCTGTAAAGAAAAGATCACTTATGTTCATTTCGTTTGTGGTACAAGCTTCTCTTTTCACACAGTTCCAGATTTTATGTACAGGAGATGTTAATATTTTTTATTTTCTATAGATGTGGGGAAGAATGTGCAATCAGACTAAAGACAAAAAACAGTGCAATCGTAGTTGTATTATAGAGATGCTAACAGCAGCAACGTGACAGCTGAAAGTTCAAACAGGCTGTATAACATGGTATAATGCAGTGTTTAGTAGTAATTATTTCATTAACCCCACCCTGCCAGTGTGTTTTCTCATGTTACAGCAGGTATGTGCGTGTGAGACATCATTCCACTGGAAAAAGCAGGCATTGCTTGGAAAGTATTCAAAGGTGTCACGGCACTCGGCGGGGTTCCACAGGGTCATGTTTTTTTTAACGTTTTTAACAGTGTTTAGATCTTGTGGTTGTGACTATGGTCGTGACTATGGTTATTCTTGTAATGTGGGCAACCACAGTACAGAGGAATGTTTTAATGTCTGTAATGTTATAACTATGACTGGTTTAATGATTAAAATGTCCTGCTTTTGGATTGAAATTTTCCTTCTTCCTTTATTGTACTGAGAAAAACTGATGTCTATATGTTGCTACTGTTTTAAGTCGGTGTGTCATTTAGCCTGAAATCCCGATTTAAAACTTTAAATTATTTTTCTTTTGTACTAAACAAATGATTGATAACTAGTGAAACTTTCAAGAGGATCTTACTTTTGCTTGGATTCAAAGCAACAACAAAAAAAACAACAAACTCCAGCATCAACACACATTAAGCTGGCCACTCAGGACTTAAGTAAAGGTAACTTCTAAAACTCCAATCTAAGTTCTCAAGACAAATATTTAAATGGAAGTTTGTTAAGAGAGAAGGAGAAAGCCTTAATGTTTTTTTTTAATTGAGTTGAGTCACTGGAGCTAAAGAGCCTCTGAGATATGGAGTTCATAGTCAAAGATAAATTGTTGAAATGCCACAGGAAACTTGTAAAATCCTTGCTGGTAGTTGTGTATATAGCTTTAAGGGGGTTCACTTGTACTACAGTTATATAGTTGTCAGTTTTATGTTGAGTTAAGCAAATAATAAAATATATTTCTTATTCATTTGGCAAAGATGGTGAGAAAGAATATTGCTGTTACAACTACTTATTACATTGTTTAAATTAATATTATTATTTACAAAACTGACAATATCAGCAAAGTTATTTTAACTGATGGAACACATTTCCATCATTACTTATAAGCCAAATAAACAATCTGAATATGAACGTGAAAAACTGAAGCGCTACTTTTCTTTCTCTGGAAACTCCTTACTAACAAACTCCACCTGCAGGCAGTGCCCTGACAAACATTAATATTTTCCTGTCTGAACACTCTATGTACTCATTTCTATCTCAATTCCAAATCTTTTAGTTTTCTTTTTATAAGGATAGACAGTGCTGTATTTCCATACACTATCAGCCTCTCTGTATGGTAAAGGTGTTCCTGTTTTTTTTTTTTCAGAATGGCATGGCTCCAAAGGCCTCTGTGTGCTCTAAACACACATATCTGATAACAAAAAAATGGAAAGACTGTGATTTTATATGAATTTTTCTCCAAAACCTGAAAGCATTGTACAAACTAACTACAATTCATAAAAAAATATTATGATTTCAATGCACACCTAGATGACATACAGCTACTTAAAAAAAAAAAAAATTTTTATTATCAAACTCTTTATTTTGTTGCAGCTTTTGCTCCAGCTTAGTCAGAGGTGTTCTCGCTTTTGAGAAAAGAAAAACGTCTGTAATAGATTGCCTTAACATAAAAAACACGTTTACTGACATAAATGCAATATATTATCTATGTGTGTTATTTATTATGACCTATTAACTGTAAGTCTCAAAGTTTGCTCTTTATAATTACATTGCATTTGTGGAGGCAGACATCTTTTGTGCCAGGGCAGCTCAGAGCTGACAAACTAGTGATTAGAGAGATCCCCATTACATTTGAATGAGACTCTTGCAAGTTAGGCTTGTTTACAATCCTACACATACTAATGAAATACTAGTCTGTGTAGGAATAGGTTGGTATAAGTCTAGTTAATCTGTGTAAACTAGACTTATACCAACCATGACTGGCAACCGCCTATTCAAGTGCGGGTTTTGTGTTGTTTTTCTTTTTCCTGAGCGGACTCTCATCGTTCTCCTGCCCTTGGTCTGTGTTTGTTTTGGTCAGAATGCGCAAAATAGGGGAAGAATCACCATGACAACAGAGGTAAGGGGAGACAGCGTTCCTGAGCTTAGGCAGAAGCAACGGGGAATCAATGTGAGAACAAGAGGAGAGAGAGCTCCGTAACCGAGAAGCTGGCTAACTATGCCACCCTCTGGAGCTAAGCAATCACAGGAGTAAAGGTGGCAGCTTGCAGCTTACAACAGCAGAGTGGAGAGGCCTGCAGGGAAACAGCACTGATGGCTTGGAAGAGGCTACAGCTGGCCCTGGCTAACTACTGGTTAACTGTGGAGGATCGAAGTAGAACAGCAGAGGATCGGATTACTCTGCCAAGCGGAAAGAGTTCAGATGGCAGGGTAAAGTGGCTGTGGCTTACCATGAGGAGGACGGCGTGACTTCAGAGGAGCAGACAAAGCGGTAAGAGATGACAGCAGGCCAAGGCTAGGCTCTAGAAGCTAACAAAAACAGCAGCTGGTCTGTGTCTATGCTGGTTCTAGGATACAAAAAAGTATTTCTAATGCTACGTTCACCCCGGATGCAGCAAGAGCAGCAAAATCGCGTCCGCTGCTTCATTTTCGCTGCAAAAGTGTGTCTGACGCGCGTTGGGCGGAGCTACACTATCCTTTCTCTGCCTTGCAGCTATATTTGCTGTGATCAGTGGGAATAAAGTAATTTTAATATGTTTTTAAGTGAGAAAATACACCTGAAAACTTCATCAGTGCAGTCAGTTCATCCAGATTACAATCCTGCCTTCCAATCTTATTTCTGTCGGAGCAGCTCAGACCCCCACATACCAGCAGTGCGCCGACAGTAGGATCCCATTCAACAGCAGCCTCTGGCCGGATCGCCTCCTCGCGGTTCACCGCGGCGGCTGGTAGGTGTTTTTCATCTAAATAATCCGATCTGCACGCACCAGAATAATAAAAGCGAACATATTCTGCCGGCAGATTTCTGCATTTTAAGTTAATTTATGCGTCAATAAAGTGTTTCAGAGGAGCAATCACAGCGCTCTGTATCAACAGCGCTGTGTCTCTCTCCCTGCCAGCTCCCAGATCAGCTTCTCTGATTGGTTGACGCGGCGCATCGAGCTGCAAAAGTTTAATTTTTTCATCTCGAGCAGCAGCACGTTTGCGGCGCACCACGCGCGTCAGATGCTTAAACGTGCCCGACGCGCTGCTTCAGCTGCTCAGACGCGCCTTCCATACAGCTCAAAACGCGCCGCGGGACCTTTTGTTGCGCCTTGACGCGTCCGGTGTGAACGCAGCATTAGACTGCATAAAAACGGCTTTTTAAAGCCACAACAAACTTCTTAAGAACTTTACCGCTTCGTCAGCATTATTTTTATATCTTCCATTTTGATTTAAAAAAGCTTTTCTCTATGGCCCCCTTCACTAAAACAGTGGTCAATTAATCATTCTTTCTCATCTCCTAAGGTGTATTTTTGTCTTGTCATGTACTTAAGACAAGGTATTGAAGAATTAATGGATTTGATGCTGAAATCTAATGTAAATAAATCTCTTCATCATATTACAACATTGGTAAAGCGGATGTCCCAGTAGCCATTTTCTACCATGACAGCCTCCGTATTGTTAGAGGGGAGAAGCAGTGTGGTGGGACGGTGCATGTTGCTGCACTCTGACTATTATGTCGCTTAAAATTACACATTGTAGCTTTAAGGTGGAATTGTGAGTCAGAGCACCTTTTGAACTGCATTCTTTTTGAGTCAGATAATCCCTTGACTTAGCCATGTAAAATAGGTGATGGATTATTTTTCATGTGATGATTTCTGGAAATGTATGGGAAAAAAACCAACAGTTTATTCGATTTTAAACTTGCGAAAAAGAATACTGTATATTAGTCTGAAGTTCTAAAAAAAATAAAGATTTTATGGTGATGGAAATCAGTGTTAAAAGTGTTAAACTAATAGACACTTTAAATCAATGCTTATATGAAGAGATAAAGCTTCATATTTGAAGCCAACAAGACAGTGTTGCCTGAGACAAAATGCTGGCTTCAAGCTTTCCCCATACATCCAGACAGACCTGTATTCTTCAGGAGTTGTATTATTATACTTCTATGGAGATTTTTTTTTGAAATTGTGCTTAATGGTTAAACAGAGATCATATTATCTGACTGTTACTGACTGTTACCGTGTTACTGATTGCACCAACATGATGAGGTCTTGAAGTCCTCGAATCCCGTCATTTAAATGTTTGTCTTTTATGGCAAAGTTTGCTAAATTACAGTTCTGCTTCAAGCCTTTAATCTTCTATCTGTAAAGAGAGCAAACAGATGGTGCAAGTCAGACAGCAAAGTGAGAGGGAAGATTTTCATCTGTTTTTACCTCCCTACACTGAGGCAGTGTCTCTGAAATTTTCAAGATTTAAGGAATCTATGAAGAAGAACAACAGAAAAATATAATTTATGAAATCCAATCTTTACAGAAAATTGTCTGCTGTAAAAGTCTGTCCAGGTTTGGACAGCACACAGGGTATGCCCAGGTTAATTTTAGAAACACAGCAGTCCTTCAGTGAGCGGCTGTGATGTCATCTCGTGCCCCATGCGTATGCTGAGCTGCATCGAGCTTCGACACAGACAGGCTGAGGAGCAAACAGTCCAGCCTGCTGAGCAGATGCACTAACATCAACTGATGACAGAATAAACACATCTACAGGTAAGACTTCGTTTCCAGGACAAATTTTTAGCTTCTGTATGCATCATACATACATGCACATGGGTGCAGCTCAACATCATGTCAGTTGCATGTCTCTGAATAAACGCAGGCAAACACCAGCTTTTTTTAGCCTTAAAAATGATGGATATGAATCCCAAGGATACTGGGATACCAGGTGTGCTGTGCAGGCTGCATGACATGACTCAGCAGACATATTTATCAATGCATTGTGATCATGGCAGTTTAGGACAGCGGAGAACTCACTCCCCTGTGTCCGCTAACTAGGACAGGATGGGTGTGGCATGATGCAGCCCACTTTTGTCCTCTTTGTCTTTGGGAGATTTTAGTTCTAACCAGGGAAATACTCTGCATCAGTCTTTAACTGAGATCTCTCTATGGGAATATCTGCTCCAGAAACAGAATATTACAATAGATTCTGTTAAAGCACCCAGAGACTCCACTTATACTTCTTAAGTTATTTTATTAGTCCTGGGATTATTTTGTTGTTGCGTCTGTTAGAAAAAGCTGTATTTTGGCCTAATTCATACATATATTTTGTATCATTTTGATCATGAAGACTCCATTTTAGTTTACTCTATTTCCCTTTTTGGACCCACTGCAATGCTGCATTATTTTGGAAAATGGACCTT